CCATCAAAAAGTGGATTAAAGAGATGAATAGACAATTCTCAAAAGAAGATATACAAATGGCCAACAAACATATGAAAAAAATGCTTAACATCACTAATGATCAAGGAAAATGAAAATCAAAATCACAATGCAATACCACCTACTCCTGCAAGAATGACCATAATCAAAAAATCAAGATTGGCATTGATGTGATGAAGAAAAGAGCAGTTTTACACTGCTGGTGAGGATGTAAACTATTAAAACCACTATGGAAAACAGTGTGGAGATTCCTTAAAGAACTAAAAGTAGAACTACCATTTGACCCAGCAATCTCACTACTGGGTATCTACCCAGAGGAAAGTAAATTATCATTTAAAAAAAAAAAAAGATACTTGCACACGTATATTTATAGCAGCACAATTCGCAATTGCAAAAACCTGGAACCAGCCCAAATGCCCCTCAATCAACAAGTAAAGAAACTGTAATTATATACATATATATACACACACACATACATACATACATATATATATCTCTCTCTCTCACATATATATGATGGAATGCTACTGAGCCATAAAAAGGAATGAAATAATGGCATTTTCAGCAACCTGGATGAAACTGAAGACTATTATTCTAAGTGAAGTAACAAGTGAATTAACTCAGGAACGGAAAAATCAAACACTGTGTGTTCACACTCATAAGTAGACACTAAGCTATGAAGATGCAGAGGCATAAGAATAACCCGGTGGACTCTGGGAACTCTGGGGAAAGGGTGGGAGGGGGTGAAGAATAAAAGACTATACACTGGGTACAATGTACACTGCTTGGTTGATGGGTGCTAGAAAATCTTAGAAATCAACACTAAATAACTGATTGATGGAATCAAACACTACATGTTTCCCAAAAATCTACTAAAATAAAAATAAATGAACAAATAATTTTTAAAAAAATTAAAAATAAAATGAAAATAAAACCAAAATATCTAGGTTAAAAAACGTGTATTTCAGTTAAACAACAAATACTTTCAGGGGAACACAACTCTACTGCAAATTTATTTGTTGTTTATTATAATTAAAGCAACAGATAAAATAATTTTTTAATGAAACAATAGAAAGTAAAAAAAAAAGATATAACAAATGTTGGTGAAGGCCAGGCATGGCGGCTGTTTTCCAAAGCAGTTACACCAGTCAGGCATGGTTGGCCCACACCTGTAATCCCAGACCTTTGAAAGGCCAAAGCAGGTCACTTGAGTTCAGGAGTTTGACACCATCCTGGCCTACATGGCGAAACCTCATCTCTACCAAAAAAAAAAAAAAAAAAGCAAATATTAGCCAGGCGTGATGGCATGCTCCTGTAACTCCCAGCTACTCAGGAGGCTGAGGTGAGAGGGTCACTTGTGCCTGGGAGGTCAGGGCTGTACTGAGCCATGTTCATGCTGATGCACTTCAGCCTGGATGACAGCAAGATTCTGTCTCAAAAAAAAAAAGTTGGTGAAATGTGCAAGAATTGGAACCCACATAAATTACTGGTGGGAACATAAAATTGTGTAATCATTTTGGGTGTTTCTTTTCTTGTCATTTGATTTATTAAAAAATCATGATAGTCTCTCTCTATGTTGCCCAGGCTGGTCCTGAACTCCTGGGCTAAAATGATCCTCCCACCTCAGAATCCTGAATAACTGAGATTACAGGCATGAGCCACCACACCTGACTGTTGTAACCAGTTTGGAAAAACAAATGTACAGTAATAACATAATGCAACAATTTCACTCCTGGATATAAATCTAAGAGAAATAAAAATATATATTCACACAAAAACTTGTGCATGAATCTTGATAGCAGCATTATTCATGATGACCAATAAGTAGAAACAATTCAAATGTCTCTGAACTGATGAATGGATAAACATGGACTATTACTCAGCTATAAAAGGAAACACATACTGATACAGGCTGACAAGAAGAAACTTTGAAAATATTGCCCTAGGAGGGAAAAAAAAAAAAAAAAAACCCAGTCACAAAGCATCACATTTTTAAAAGATCCAGATTAGGCAAATCTATAGTGACAGAAAATAAATCAGTGATTGCCTATGAAGACACAGGGACGTGGGGGAAGTAGAAGGCAGTGGCTAAGAGCTGAGGATTTCTCTACAGCATAATGAAACGTTGTAAATGTGATTGTAGTGATGGATGCATAGCTCTGTGAGTATTCCAAAAACCACTGGATTTCTCTCTCTCTCTCTTTCTCTCTCTCTCTCTCTCTCTCTTTTGAGACAAGGTCTTCTTCTGTTACCTAGGTTGAAGTGCAGTGGCGCCATCTCAGCTCACTGTAATCTATGCATCCTAGGATCTGGCAATCCTCTGGCTTCAGGCCCCCAAATAGCTGGGACTACAGACATAAGCCCCCATACCTGGCTAATTTTTGTATGTTTCTAAAGATGGGGTTTTGCCATTTTGCCCAGACTAGTCTCCAACTCCTGAGCTCAAGCAATCAGCCTCCCAAAGTGCTAGCATTAAGGCATTAGCCACTGTGTCCTGCCTGAATTGCCTATTTTGATAGATAAATTGTATGGTATGTGAATTATACTGCAATAAAATTGTTACTAAAAAATGAAAATGGGGACTGGGCACAGGTTGCTCATGGCTGCCTATAATCCCAGCACATTGGGAAACTGAGGCAGAAAGAGCACTTGAGGCCAGGAGTTTGACACCATCCTAGGAAATATGGCAACATAACATAAACATCTCCACAACAACAACAAAAAATAGCTGGGCATGGTGGCAAACGTCTGTGGTCTCAGCTACTTGAGAAGCTTAAGTGGGAGGGTTACTTGAGCCTGGGAGGTCAAGGCTGCAGTGGGTCATAATCGTGCCACGATACTCCAGCCCAAGTGACAGGGTGAGACCCTGTCTCAAAAAACAAAACAAAAACCATGAACAGACAAAAAATAGAGCTAATAAGCTAACATAAGGAAAGTTGCTGAAATGTGACAGATAAATAAAGTAATGTGAGGTCTTTTATCTACTAAAAATAAACAAAAAATAGCTGGTTAAATTATAATACCCTGTGTTGGAAAAGGTGCAATAAAATGGGCACTTTATTATACTATTACTGGCATTTGAATTTTATATAAGCCTTCCAGGGTAAAGCTTGGCATTTTTTTTTTTTTTTTTTTTTTTAAATAACAGACAAGTGTCTCACCATACTGCCTTCTCCAACTCCCGGCCTCAAGCAGTCCTCCCATCTTGGCCTCCCAAAGTGCTGGGATTGTAACTGTGAGATGCCCAAAAGCTTGGCAATTTACATCAAAGTAGTAAGAATGTCCATGCCCTGCTGACTCACAGTCATCTCATTTCTGGAGATACCTTTGGAGAAAATTCAACCTAAACAAAAGGTCATATGCACAAGCACAGTGAAATCTGGGAGCAATTTAAGATAGAGTGGTTACATGAAATAAGGAAGAGTTATGGGGAACTAAACAATCCTTAGTATTTACAGGCTCCTGGTAAGAAGTAAGCTAAATTTTTTTTTTTTTTTTTTGAGACAAGGTCTCACTCTGTTGCCCAGGCTGGAGTGCAGTGGCCTGATTATGAGTCACTGCAGTCTTTGCCTTCCTGGACTCAGGTGATCCTCTCCCCTCAACCTCCCAAGTAGCTGAAACTACAGGCAGACACAACTACTCCAGGCGAGTTCTTGTTTTTTTTGTTTTTTTTTTTTTGTAGAGACAGGGTCTCACTGTGTTGCCCAGGCTGCTCTCCAACACTTGTCCTCAAGCAATCCTCCTGCCTTGGCCTCTCAAAGTTCTGGGATTATGTTGTGAGCCACTGCACCCAGCCAGCTGCTACTTTATTATTATTACTGTTACTATAATCATTTCACTCAATTTAAAATTATTTGTCATTAATATCAGTCAAGTCTATAGAACAGTATGTGTCCTACCATATAACTATATTAGTATAAACATATACGGTTGCCCCTCAGTATACAAAGAAGATTGTTTCCAGCCCCACTCCCTACCATCTCTGTGTATACACAAATCCTCTGGAACCCACATGTAGGAAAGTAAAAAAAAAAATTACTTGGGCATAGTGGCAAGCACCTGTACTTCCAGCTGCCTGGGGGACTGAGGCGAAGGGATTGCTTGAGCCTGGAAGTTCGTGGCTGCAGTGAGCTGTGACAGCAGCACTGCACTCCAGCCTGGAAAACACAGTGAGACCTTGTCTCAGAAACAAAAATGTTTTGGCCGGGCACAGTGGCTCATGCCTGTAATCCCAGCACTTTGGGAGGCCAAGGCTGGCGGATAATCTGAGGTCAGGAGTTTGAGACCAGCTGCGCCAATATGGAGAAACCCCTGTCTCTACTAAAAATACAAAATTAGCCAAGCGTGGTGGCGCATGCCTATAATCCCAGCTACTCAGGAAGCTGAGGCAGGAGAATCGCTTGAACCTGGGAGGCAGAGGTTGCAGTGAGCCGAGACTGCGCCATTGCACTCCAGCCTGGGCAACAAGAGTGAAACTCTGTCTCAAAAAAAAAAAGAAAAAAAAGATTAGAAACTGTAATCGTAATGAGGTGTGTTGGGCAAAATTCCATAGAAGCAAAGTACAGATTAATGAAGCAAATGGTGATAAAATAGAACAATTACCTTTCTGCGATTTATGACAATGATGGCAAAAAAATGCAAGACACAGAGAAAGAGAGTAAAGAAGAAATTAGGGAAGCATTCTACGTGTTTGAAAGGATGACACTGGCCATGTTCATGCAGTTCCTGTACAATATTGTTCAGTTGCCTTTGTTTGTAAGGAATGTATCCACTGAAAGTTCTTCTTGGTATAAAAGAATGAGTAGGCATGCATAGTCATACTAGAACTCACTCCTGTTTTTCTACCTTTATCTTCCTACTATCATCCCACAGTCTTATTTCAGAAAATTGAGCAAGTGTTAGGCATGGTGGTTCATACGTACCTGTAATCCTTGAGTTTTGGGAGGCAGAGGTGGAAGGATCGCTTGAAGTCTGAAGTTTGAGACCAGGCTAGGCACCAAAGTGAGACCTCATTCATGTCTACCAAAAAAAAAAAAAAAAATTAACCAGGCACAGTGGTGTATAGCTGCAGGCCCAGCTACTCAGGAGGCTGATGGGGGAGGATCCTGAGCACAGGAGTTCAAGGCTGCAGTGAGCTGTGATAGCACTACTGCACTCCAGCCTGGGTGACAGAATGAGACCCCATCTCCTGAAATAACAACAACAAAAAAAAAAGAAAGAAAAAAGAAAATTGAATGAGTAGCAAATTGTAGGCGGTTGACTCTGAATATTTCTAAACTACTGGTTCTCAAACTTTTGTGGTGGACCCTCCCTTTTACATTTTTTAACTTTATTGAAGGTCTCTAAGACTTTTTGTTCATATCAATTATTCTATTAAAATTAGAAATTAAAACAAAAATTTTAAAATACGTATTTTTAATTACATAATTATAATAAAACCATTACATATTGCTATAAATAATACGTTTTAAATAACTGTATTTTCAAAATTCAAAAAAGTGAGAAAAGTGGACTTGTTTTACATTGTTGCATTTCTCTTGAATGTCTGGCATAATAAAAAACAAGTGGGGTCTCATATCAGGATTTAATCTGTGGTTTCCACACCTCATGTAGGAAAATTCCACCAAACACTTGTAAAAGAACAAGGGTGAAAGAGGCAGATAATGTCTTAGTATTTTTATCAAAATCATTTTTACCTCGTGGGTCTCCTTTGATCACGTTTTGAAGACCGCTGACCTAAAACCCTTAGACACATATGAACTGAGATGGAATTGGTCATGTGAAAGAACTTCTCTAGGTTATGCCTTTTTAAAAATAGTCTTCAGCTGGGCACAGTGGCTAACACCTGTAATCCCAGCACAATTTTTGTAGAGACACGATCCTGCCTAGATCAAGCAAAGAGTGCAAAACCAGACTAGGCAACATGGAAAAATCCCTCCTATACAAATAATTTTAAAAATTAGCCAGGCATTATGAAGCACCATCTGCAGCCCCAGCTACTTAGGACACTGAAGTGGGAGGATTACTTAAGCCTGAGACGTTGAGGCTGCAGTGAACTGTGATTGCAGCCACTGCACTCCAGCCTGGGAGACAGAGTAATACCTTGGCCCACCCCAACCCCACCAAAAAATGGTTTTCTTTAAGAACAGTCAGTTTGTTGTTGAACTGTGAAGTTTTAATTCTGCCTGGATTATGAAGAGTCAACAATATATACTTAAAGGTGTGCTACTGCCCAGTAAATGGGCTGATCATCCAGGTACTCACAGTATTCCTTGTGCTACAGGTCCTACCCCCAGGAACTTTGTCTTCTATTATCACTTGCTTTTTGAGCTTTATTTCACTCTTTTAAAAAATCTGCTTATGGCACTATACACCTCAAACAAGTTATATATTTATTTTCCAATTTAAAATTTAGAACCAAGGCCGGGCACCGTGGCCCATGCCTGTAATCTCAGCATTTTGGGAGGCCAAGCAGAAGGATCACTTGAGCCCAGGAGTGGAAGGCCAGCCTAGGCAACATGAGACAATCACGCCTCCACAAAATTAAAAACAGTACTAGCCAGGCATGGTGGTGCATGCCTGTAGTCCCAGCTATTTGTGGGACTGAGGTGGGAGGATTTCTTGAGCCTGGGAGGTTGAGACGGCAGTGAGCTATGATCGTGCAACTGCACTCCAGCCTGGGCGACAAAGCAAGATCACACCTAAAAAAAATTGCAACTAGTTTTGTAAGAAAAATGCCATATCATCTTTCAAAGTGACTCTACCTTTTTGCATTCCTATGAGCAAAGAATGAGAGTTCCTGTGGTTTCACATCATCGCTAGCATTTAGTGTTGTGTTTTGAAGTTGAGTCATTTGAATAGGAATGTAGTGGTATCTCCCTGTTGTTTTAATTTGCAGTTCCCTAGTGACACATGTTGTGGAGTATATTTTCGTATGCTATTCGCCATCTGTGTATCTTCCTTGGTGAGGTGTCTGTTCAGATTTTTTGCCCATTTTAAAATCAGTTTGTTTGTTTTCTTTTGCCTTTTTTTTGTTTGTTTTTGTTTTTAGACAGGGCTTGGTTCTGTTGCCCAGGGTGGAAAGCAGTGGTATAATCATAGCTCACAGCAGCCTCGAACTTGTGGGTTCAAGTGATCCTCCCCCCTCAGCCTCTGGATTAGCTGGGACTACAGGTGCCACCATACTGGGCTAATTTCTAAATATTTTGTAGAGATGAAATCTCACTTTGTTGCCCAGGCTAGTAGTGTCAAACTCTTGGCTCAAGCCATCCTCTTGCCTCGGCCTTTCTAAATTCTGGGATTATAGGCACCTTGCCCCATTTTGATAGTTAGTTTTCTTTGTTTGTTTGTTTGTTGTTGTTGTTGTTGTTTCTGAGACAGGGTCTCTTTCTGTCACTCAGGCTGAAGTGCAGCAGTGCAATATCAGCTCACTGCAACCTCTGCCTCCCAGGCTCAGGTGATCCTCTTACCTCAGTCTCCTGAGTACCTGGAACTATAGGCATGAGTCACAACTCTAGGCTACTTATTATAATTTAAAAAAAAATTTTAGTAGACATGGCCTTATTATATTACCCAGAATGGTCTTGAACTTCTGGTTCAAGTGATCCCCCCACCTCAGCCTCTCTTAGTGCAGGATTTAAAGGTGTGAGCTACCTTGCCTAGCCTAGAAGTTTTTAATTTTAATGAAGTCCCATCTACTAATTTTTCTTTCTTGAGTCATGCTTTTGCTGTTGTATGTAAAAAGTCAACACCAAACCCAAGATTCTTCTCCTATGTTATCTTCTAGGAGTTTTCTGGTTTTTCCAGAGGTTCAGGGAGAAGAAGGAAAAGGTGAATAGACAGAGCACAGGGATGTTTTAGGAAAATGAAACTATTCCCTGTGATACAGTAATGATGGACACATGTTATTTTACATTAGTCAAAACACATGGAATATACATCACAAAGAGTGATGCACTGTTAGTAATAATGTATCAGTATAGGTTTATCAGCTGTAACAAATGAACCACACCAATACAAGGTATAAACATAGGAGAAACAGTTGGGGGAAGTGGTCTGTGGAAATTCTGTATGTTTTTATTAATATTTCTGTGAACCTGAAACTGCTCTACAAAATAAATCTATTACTTTTTTTTAAAATTGAGCGTTATTTTAGATTCAGAGGGCATATATGGGCTTGTTTGTTGCACAGGTAAATTGCATAATGGTGGTGACTAAGCTTCTAGTACACCCATTACCCAAATAGTGAACACTGTAGCCAAGAGGTAGTTTTTCAACCCTTGCTCCTCTCACACCTTCCCCCTGTTGGAGTCCCCAGAATCTCGTTTTGATCTTCTGCAGCCTTTAGGAGCTGCAAAAGGAAAGAAAACAGATTATCTCCTAGAGCCTCCAGAAGGAGACCCAGCTTCACAAACACCTTGATTTAAGCCCAGCGAGACCCATGTTGGATTTCTGATCTCCAGCACTGTAACATAATAAATTGGGTGTGATCTGATATCCCTAAATTTCATGGTCATTTGTTACAGCCACCATCAAAAATTAACGCAGTCACATATTCATTCAATAAATACATAATGAATCCTACTCTGTGTCAGGTACTCTGTAGGCATTGTGGATATAGCAGTGAACAAAACTGGCTCCCATGTTACCAAACATTGTAGAGTTCACTGAACTGATTAAAGGCTGGGTGCAGTGATTCATACCTGTAATTCCAGCACTATAAGACACTGAGGTGGGAGGATCACATAACATCAGAAGTTTGAGACCAGCCTGGGCAGCACTGCAAGACCCTAACTCTACAAAGAAAAAAAAAAGAACTGAAGAAGAAACCAGGCAGGTTCTACCAGTACAGACAGAATGATCATTCTTGGGTAGAATAGAATAGTACCATCTTCTTTTCTTTTCTTCTCTTACCTTTTCCTTTCATTTCTTTGACCAGCAGCAAAAACTTAACTAGGATACTTCCTGCTCTATAAAATAAAACACAGGAGCACCCACAAAGATTAAATGAAGTAGGAACTGGAGAGTGACTCCTCATTTCCGAGCTGTTTAATTTCAATGACTTTTGTTCAATTTTGACTTAACTATTATCTTAAGTAAAACAAGTCAGCCACAGAAAACAAATACTGCCTGTTCTCATTTATAAGTGACTCAGTAGTATTTCATCCTATATATGTGATAAACATATATATATGTGTGTGTGTGTGTGTATCTATATACTCACAGTTTCTTTACTTGTTGATTGATAGGCATTTGGGCTGGTTCCATGTTTTTGCAATTGAGAATTGTGCTGTTATAAATATACGTGTGCAAGTATCTTTTTTTTTTTTATAATAACTTACTTTCCTCTGGGTAGATACCCAGTAGTGAGACTGCTGGATCAAATGGTAGTTCTACTTTTAGTTCTTTAAGGAATCTCCACACTGTTTTCCATAGTGGTTTTAATAGTTTACATCCTCACCAGCAGTGTGAAACTGTTTTTCTTTTCATCACATCAATGCCAATCTTGATTTTTTGATAATGGTCATTCTTGCAGGAGTAGGTGGTATTGTATTGCGGTTTTGATTTTCATTTTCCTTGATCATTAGTGATGTTAAGCATTTTTTTCATATGTTTATTGGCCATTTGTAGATCTTCTTTTGAGAATTGTCTATTCATCTCCTTAATCCACTTTTTGATGGAATTGTTTGTTTGTTTGTTTTCTTGATGATTTGTTTGACTTCCTCGTAGATTCTGGATATTAGTCCTGTGTCAGATACACAGATTGTAAAGGCTTTCTCCCAGTCTGGGTTGTCTGTTTACTCTGCTGATTGTTTATTTTGCTGTGTAGAAGCTTTTTAGTGTAGTTATTTCAATTTTTTGTCTACATTATGATATAATCACGATTATTTTGCTTACTCAGTTGGTGATAAATATTTGGGTGGTTTACATTTCTTGGCAATCATAAAGAAAGCTGCTATGAATATTTGGGTGCAAGTCTTTATCAGGACATATGTTTTCTTTTCTTCTGGGTAATACCTCAAATTGGTAGGGCTGGATTCTCTAGCAGGTTTAGGTTTAACTTTTTGAGAAACCAGCAAACCAGTTTTCAAAGCAATCCTTCCATGTTACATTACTGCCAGCAGGGAGTGAAAGTTCTAGTTGTTCTACATCTTCATCAACATTTGGTAGAGAGGATGGTCAGTATTTCAGTGTTCTGAAATACTGTTTCTTCCTTCCTTCCTTTCCTCCTTCCTTCCTTCCTTCCTTTCTTTCTTCTTTCATTCTTTCTTTTTCTTTCTTCTTTCTTTCTTTCTTTTTTTGGAGTTTTAAAATTGGGGTAGAATTCGCATAACATAAACTTTACCATTTTAAAGTGTACAGGTCAATAGTGTTTAGTATATTTGCAAGCTGTGCAACTATCACCACTAATTCCAGAATGTATTTCTCACCACATACCTTGTGTCTGTTAGCAGTCACTCCTTTCAGTTTTTCTAAGCCAGACGAATTATTCGTAACACTCCAGGGTTGGGCACAATGGCTCATGGCTGTAATTCCAGCATTTTGGGAGGCCAAAGTGGGAGTCTTCCATGAAGCTAAGAGTTCAAGAGCAGCCTGGGCAACATGGAAAGATCCCACCTCTACAAAAAATAGAAAAGAAATTAGCTGAGTGTGGTGACGTGCACCTGTAGTCCCAGCCAGCTGGGAAGCTGAGGTGGGAGGATAGCTGGATCTTGGGAGAGGTTGAGGCTGCAGTGAGCCATGATCATGTCCCAGCACATTAGTCTTGGCACAGAGTGAGAGATCCTGTCTCAAAACAAAAATCTATATATATATAATGTCATGTATACATCAGCAGAGTCTTATCTGTGTATTCTATCTTAACTAGAGAAATGGTATGCTTCTATGTTTCTCTCATTGACAAAAATAAGAACTTTTTCATTAAAGGAAGGAAGGTGCAGGTGGAAGAAAGGATGAAAAGCTGTGAGATTATTATCATTCGTATTTCTCTTCTTTACAGGACAAAACAAAGTACAGTCTTTGATGACCAACACAGTGCTTATTCTTGTATGACTCAGAGCTGCAAAACCTTGTTCAATCCCCAGTTATCCTATCTGTAAAGCCTTTGGAAATATTAGTTGTATTTGAAATGTTGAAAAAGTTAAATCTAATCCTTTTTTTGTACATAGGTGGTCGCGTAACGGGAACAGATGCTGACATGTCAATAATATCTTTAGGTGGAAGGTAAAATCTAATTTCGTTACTGCTGTTTAACTACCTTCCTTCAAAATGTTTTGGTTTTTAAAGTATTGAGATTTATGTACCCTAGAACATAAAGTACAATAATAATAAAAAAAAAGGCCTTATGTCACATATTTCAAAGTTTAATAGGCAAGAAAATCATTTGGAGTTGTTACGAACATTCCCTCTTTGACTTGGTATTTCTGAATAAGAGTGTTCTTAGGTAAACCCTGGGGGATTGGCGACACTGTGAATTGGAAAGCCTTAGAGCGGGGTTTGTAAGTTAACACACACTTCTAGTATTTTGTTGTACTTTTGTCCACAAAAGATAGATTGGAATTAAAGTACCAAATCCAGCTGACACGTGTTATTCATGTAAAAAATAAACATTTCAGTTTTCAGTTGAGTCAGTTTTGCAATCACCTTGGTCAAGTGAGTGATGTTACACTTTGAGGTCCAGAGTATTCGAATGCTGTGGGAGTGGCTGTCACCAGCTCATGGCTTGATCAGGGTTTACTTCTACTTGTAACTGTGTCCCCAGCAGAGTAAAATCTGAACCCACAAAAGATCCTGGTACGTACTAGTGCTTTTAGAACTGATTGTGAATTTAAGGAAAACTTTTTCTTAGTTTAGAGCGTTATATTTTGACTCAATTATTGTTTTAATGAAAAACATGCAGTTGCTATAAATGTATTGCAACTGTGACACTGTTTTCAGAATTTTCTTGGAATCTGTCCTGAAAAAAATGATTTCTTTGTTTCATACTGAATAGGAGCTGGGAAAGGCAGCTCCAATGAGAGGTTTGGTAATGGATTTTAGCTGGTGAGGAAATGAAATGTTTGGTTTTGGAAAGAGAGAATGAAGTGGGTGCTGTCTATGAGTGCCCGCTGTGGGGTAGTGGAATTGACAGAAAGAAAGGGAAGACAGGTAGGATTGTCAAAACAATCTCTTTAGGGAAAGCCTTCTATTTTGGTGGGTGGGGGACGTCACTGGCATAAAGGAGTACGGGAGGAAGGAGATGTAATTGTAATGGTAATGGATGGGGTACCAGAGAATCGGATAGGCTTGGTCAGATATTGGATGAGACAATTTCTTAATTAATTTGAATGTTTTCATAGCCTTGAGAAAGCTGAAGATTGAGGACGTATTAGCAGTGGGGTTTTGAGAGGGCCCTGAGAAAGGTGCTTTAAGAAGGGTTTCTAAAAGAGCAGTTGAGGCAAGCAAGAGTGGCCAAATTGGTTTGAGTAGACATAGGATCCCAAATAGGGAGCCTGACAGATTTTGCTTGGTCCTGGAGTAGTTGGTGTCCGGAAGCTGTAAGTCTGAGCTAAGCTATGATCCTTTGTAGGACAGTATGGCCAGATTTAATGGATTAAGGAGGAAAGGATCCTTGGAAGTGGATCTGTGGAGTAGGTAAGGTGTAAATTCATACTGGAACTGGTCCAAGTGGTTAGAAGGGTTGGAACAGCAGTGGAACCTTGGGTTTGGGCCAACATACAAATCCAGCAATTGGAGCACAAGGATAATTTTGTTTGCCTTAATAGTTGGTGAGTGACACTGACATGAGGCACCCACCTATCGGGTTGAAGAGGTTCCTGCAAAAAGAATAAACAAAAGGAGAAGAAAGATTTGGGTTGGGGTGAAATCCTGAAATGTGCCTTGGAGTCAAAGTTCTTGTATTAGGTTGAGAAATAAGCTGGGGTGTTCATAGGGGCTGGAAGTGGGTACCAGTTGAGGCCCTGGACAAGATGGGAAGGAAAAGATTGGAAGTTAAAAAATGACAATGCCATGTGCAGGCAGTTTTCAGAGATTCTGGGACTGTGGTTAGGCAGAGTGATGTGCCTGTGAGGGATGAAAGATACTTAGGTAGAAATGTGGGGGGTGTGGAGGGATGGGGATGAGATGCCTTTTAAGATTAGGAGTGCCACATCTCATGTGTTAGGCTCTTAACTTTGGCTGCTATGGGTGTGGTTAGTATCATCTGATAAGGCCCCTCCATTTAGGGTAATGGGGTGGAGATTCATCCACCCATACCCAGTCTCTGAGTTGGAGGGTAAGGTTGTGAGCTGGGTGTCAGGGTTTGGTTGGGGGAGAAATGCATCAGCGTATTCTCTGAGCAGAATGCCCCTGAGATGTAGGGTGGGTCAGACTTCATCAGTGAGGGAAGTTGTAGTTTGTGGGAAACTACGTAAGGTGAAAGGCCGCCCATACATGAGTTCGAAGGGGTTTAGGTTTATTGGCTGACAGGGAAGGGCTTTCAACCTTATGAGCTCACTGGGTGGGAGCATGGGCCAGGGATCTTAACCTTCAGGGCAAGTTTAGTTAGTTGTTTTAAAAGACCATTGGCTCCCTGTACCTTGTCCAAAGATTGGAAGCAATAAGGGATGTGGAGGATCCATTTGATGTTTAAGGCCTTGGAGACCTGTCGAGTTACATTTGAGATAAAGGCAGGGCCACGATCAGACTGCATGGTTGTGGGCAGTCCAAACCTTGGGATAATTTGTCGTAGGAAGATTGAGGTAACCTCTTTTGCCCTCTTGGCGGTGGTGGAAAAGACCTCGATCTGCCTGTTGAAAGTGATCAACAGGGGTGAGGATATAGTCATGTTTCTTGAGAGGCAGCATATGAATGAAATCAATTTTCCAATTTTGTAGTGGCCTCTGACACTGGAGGGTGCCCTTTAGCTTGATTTCTGGGCTAAGTGAGTGGTCTGAGTGCTCCCTGGAAAGAAACTTGGTTGCAGATCATATGGGCCTGAGTGAGTTAAGGGTGGTGGCCATGGCAGGAGACTGCAGGTGAGGTTATAAAAGCTGAAGGAGAGGATGATAGCTGGTGTGAAAGAGGCTGTGAATGTGAGTGAGTATGGATTTTTTCTGGGACATGGGCAAGAGAAGCTTATTGTCTAGAAAGAACCAGCCCTCCTTGTTTGTGGCCCCAGCCACAGAAAGATTGAGGCTTTCTTCTGGTGAGTATGAGGGCTGTTGAGCTGGGAAACAGGTAGTAGGGGTTGGGGCTTAAGGGCTGTTGTTTAGCTGCAGAACCAGCTAGTGCGTTTCCTTCTGATAATAGGTTTGTCGAGAGCCTGGTAAGAGGTGCAAGATTGACAAAGGGAAGGTCAGGAGCAGAGGTAAGTGAAAGCTTGAATATAGGAAACCTTGGTCCACTTCCCATTGCAGCAGATAAAATTTTCAAGATTTCGTTGAATTTGAAAGTCAAAGATTTCATTTTAAGGCCATTGAGTACCATTGTGCAGTTGCTACTGGGGCCAAGCCATGTTATAAAAGAAAATGTAACGTTTGGGCTTAATGTGAGGGCTGATACCTAGAGTGTGGAGGTTGCAAGGGAGACAGCCAAATGATGTGTCATGGGGAACGTTCTTCAGGTGGATTTTGAGGCTTCACTGCAATGCTAGCTTCCTGTTGCTGGTGCAATAAATATTTATTTATTTATTTTGAGACAGTCTTGCTCTGTCACCCAGGCTGGAGTACAATGGTGCGATCTCAGCTCACTGCAAGCTCCGCCTTGTGGGTTCACGCCATTCTCCTGCCTCAGCCTCCCGAGTTCCTGAGTAGCTGGGACTACAGGCACCCGCCACCATGCCCGGCTGTTTTGTATTTTTAGTAGACGCGTGGTTTCACTGTGTTAGCCAGGATGGTCTCAATCTCCTGACCTAGTGATCTGCCCGCCTTGGCCTCCCAAAGTGCTGGGATTATAGGCGTGAGCCACACACTTAGCGTCTTTAAACAACATATATGTATTCTCTTATAGTTCTGGAGGCCAGAATTCTAAATTCCCTTCCACTGAGTCAAGGTGGGAGCAGGGCAAGTGGCTTCAGAGACTCTGTGGGAGAATCCATTTCCTGGCTCTAGAGGCAGCCTCCGATCCTCGACTTTTGATGCCCTCCTTGAATGACTCCAATTCTTGCTTCCATCACTACACCTCCCACCACTCTCCCATCACCTGCTCTGCTCTTACAAGGATCCGAGTGAGGATATCAACTTGCCACCTAAACAAGCTGGGATAATCTTTCCTGCCAAAGGTCCTTAACTTCCTTACATCTGCAAAGCTTCTTTTACCATATAAGGTAATGTTCACAGGTTCCTGGATCAGAATATGGGCATAGTGGGAGGCCACTTATAAGCCTAGTACCGCTAGGCTGCAAAATACTGCAAGTAGACTGCAAAACCATTACACCCTTCTCGCGTTTTAATGATTGGGAGAAAAGCAGTTGGGACTTTTTGCTTTGGGGTCCTTCTTAACTTTGCATTTTTAGGGTCTAGGGTCCCTCTTAAACTTGTATTTTTAAGGTCTAACCCTCATCAATCCCCTCCTCCAACCAGAGACACCCACTGCAGTGTTTCCTTGAAAGTCTGGTGACATGTCTATATCTAAGTTCTGATGAGAGGCACAGGGCCAGCCAACAGCCCCCATGACAGTCCCCTCGGCCAGAGGGTGCCCACCTAGGCCACACCTGGTGACTGAAACAAGCCCATGGCTGGGAAGGAACATACAGACGGGTCTGGGGCCTGGTGAGGGCACCATGGAGGCCATGGGATGAGCGAGGTCTGCTAGGACAGTGCAGGTCTGCGGAGGTGAGGTGAGGCTGTAGAGCCTGGCCTAGTGCCACAGGAGCCAGAGGAAGAAGCTGGGGGCTATCGTCCCGGTCCACAGAGATGCTGGAGACTGTGGCACCAGGAGTGGCCCTGAGGCTGTGGAGAGAGCATCTCTACCCCATAGCACCTGGGGATGACGGTGAGGTCCTCACCTGACAAATGCAGCTTCCAAGTCCCAGATGTTGGGCTTTTTCTTTGTACTCAGAGACTAGTGGGGGCAGTGACAGGAAGCCAGGGAACATCTCTTGCTACCTCCTCCATGCTCTGTATGCAAAGACTGAGCGAGGTGGAGCTGGCTGGGAGGTCGGGCACTTCATCCACCTGCTCTTTGGTACTGGTCATCTAGAGGTGGGTGCAGAGGTGGTCCAACCATTTCCGCTGTTCACGTCACTGTAGGTGCACCGGGTTCTTCCTCAGCATCGGGATGATCTGCTTCATCTCCAGTCGCGCAGCCTCCAGGCACTGGGAGTGGTCCTCCTGCAGGATGTTCAGCTTCGTCTTGGCCAGGTGTGGAGGCATACGTCCAGCTTGGTCCAGGGCATCCACCGGGTCCCTCGTCGTAGCAGTAAGGTGATGACAGAGTCGTGGTCAGTGCAGGCCACAATCTGGTCATTACCATTGCAAGAGGCAAAGTGTAGAGCTGTGTGGCCCTTGTCATTTGCACAGGGATCCGTGCCATTTTCCAGCAGCTGCCACACTTTTTCCTCGTCGTTGGCACTGGCAGCATTGGCATTGTCTCCCTCATTCTTTTCAGAGCTGCACCTCTTTGCTCATGGGCCCGAGCCAGCAGTGGGGCCTGGCAGTGAGCCTCAGCCACCAGCAGGGATCTTGTAGCACAGCTCCTGGTGCAGCTCTGCATCCTACTGCCACCAGTCGTGCGGTGGTGCAAAGGGGACTGGGCCCCAGGGGCCTCCTGGCCTGGGAGGCCCGTGCAGCTGCCCAGTGCAGACCCGAGGTCAGTGAAGGAGAAGAAGCCCCAGGTGCCCTTCAGCTTTTTTTGTTTGTTTGTTTGTTTGTTTTTTGTTTTGAGGCAGGATCTTGCTTTGTCACCCAGGCTGGAGTGCAGTGGCACCATCTAGGCTCACTGTAAGCTCCGCCTTCCGGGTTCACACCATTCTCCTGCCTCAGTCTCCCGAGTGGCTGGGACTACAGGCACCTGCCACCATGGTCAGCTAATATTTTGTATTTTAGTAGAGACAGAGTTTCACCGTGTTAGCCAGGATGGTCTCGATCTCCTGGCCTCTTGATCTGCCCGCCTCGGCCTCCCAAAGTACTGGGATTACAGGTGTGAGTCACCATGCCTGACCCAGCCTCCTTTTCTTTAAATTTTGGGATAACACAGAACTCAGCAAGACTTTGACAGTATGGATGATTACATCCTATTTACAATATTATTGTTTTCCTCTATCTACTTGTTTATTTACTGAGAAAAAAAAAGTGTCAGCGTAATCGTGGAAGCAACCTAATGAATAAACTACACCTTGATTATAAGAAAAAATGAAAATTGGTTCATCCTTCTTGAATACAGAGTTTTAAAAATTCTTAAGAAAATTATGGCTTATTGAGTACACCGCAATCCTTTTCTGTTACAAAAACAAAGACAAATGACTGCTTTGGGGTTTTCCCCCAAATAGCTTCCATGTGTTTTTCCATCTGGTACATTGTAAAACTTCTTTTAACGCCTAAGCCCTCAGGAGAATTTCACAGCCGCTTTGTAAATCCTGGAAGTTCAGGAAACTGCCAACACATGCTGACCATGCTAAGTCCCAGTCTCCTTGGAAAGGAGTCTTTTTTTTTTTTTTTTTTTTTTTTTTGAGACGGAGTCTCACTCTGTAGCCCAGGCTGGAGTGCAGTGGCCGGATCTCAGCTCACTGCAAGCTCCGCCTCCCGGGTTCACGCCATTCTCCTGCCTCAGCCTCCCGAGTAGCTGGGACTACAGGCGCCCGCCACCTCGCCCGGCTAGTTTTTTGTATTTCTTAGTAGAGACGGGGTTTCACCGTGTTAGCCAGGATGGTCTCGATCTCCTGACCTCGTGATCCACCCGTCTCGGCCTCCCAAAGTGCTGGGATTACAGGCTTGAGCCACCGTGCCCGGCCGGAAAGGAGTCTTCATAGTAGTGGACTCTCGCTTGAGGAAGTCTCACATGGCAGAAAACCAAGCGACTGTAACACAGGGTCTAGTTGTACGGTAATGTGCCTCGCTCACTGTTCTTGGGGTTCATTTTCCTCAGCTGAGCACACACAGAATTGTGGCTTTGTTTGAACAGAGTTCTTTTGGGTCATATGTACCTATGTTGGAGCCATTTGACTCCCTTCATTGTTGGTGGTCTCCAAGCCTAAGAAGAATATTGTAGGCCAGGCATGGCGGCTCATGCCTGCAACCCCAGCACTTTGGGAGGCCAAGGAGGAAGGATCACTTGAGACCATGAGTTCGAGGCCAGCCTGGACAACATAGGGAGACCCAATCTCTACAAAAAAATTTAAAAAATTAGCTGTACATGGTGGTGCACGCCTGTAGTCCAAGCTACTTGGGAGACTGAGGCAGGAGTATCACCTGAGCCTGGGAGGTTGAGGCTGCAGTCAGCCATGATCACACCACTGTACTCCAGTCTGGGCAAGAGAACGAGCTCCTGTCTCAAAACAACAACAACAACAACAACAGCCACAACAACAAAAACATAAAAAGAATATTGTAGATAAATGGGAGAATATGTTCTTAGAACTCACCCACTCGAAACTCTAGGACATCAAATTGACAGTCTTGGTGACTTTCTAGGTAAAAATCTTCAAAATGATTATAAATAGATGAATTTTCCTGATTTGGATTGCTGAGAGTACATTCACAGTTTAGGTTTGTCGAGTAATTCCTGATTCCATCATAGGAGAAGTAAAGTTTCCTTCAGGAGTGTTTGGAAGAGACCCCACCACACACTAAGAAAACAGAAGGCAACAGAGAAAGTAGTAGTAAGATTCAGGCCACAACAGAAGAGATAAACAACACAGGAACAGTAACTAAAACATCAACATTACTGCTTTGATTTGTTTTTCTAGATGCAGTCAGGATTATGGGTAAAAGGCATGCAAATTATGGAAGTTTCCGCAAGTTTATAAAGGAAAAAATGTGCAAAAATCAACACAACTTCTCTACCTTCCTGTTGGCTTAGATTAGGTGGCTGGGATTTGGCTCAGTATCAATATGTCCAAATATTGAGGCCTACATCTTTAATATATTTTAAATTAATTTTATGTATGCTGTAAAGGTTGGGTGCAATTTGTTTTTGTATGTGGATATCTCATTTTCCCGACACCATTTATTGAAGAGTTTATTCTTTTTCCATTGTGTATCTGTATGCCTTTGTTGAAAATTCATTGACTGTATACAGATGGATACATATAGCTGAGCTCCCTATTCTGTTCCAGTGGTCTATTTGTTTGTGTTTATGCCAATATTTTGCAGTTTTGATGACTACAGCTTTGCTATATAGCTTGAAATCAGGCAGTGTAATGCTTCTAGCTTTGTCCCTCTTGCTTAAAATTGTTTTGAGTCTTTTATAATTCCACACAAACTGTAGATTTTTTAAAATTTTTGTTGAAAATGCTATTGGAATTCGGATAGAGACTGCTTTAAATAATACACCAATTTGAGTAGTATGAATGTTTTAGTATTAATTTTTCTGATCCATGAACACTAAGTATTTTTAAATGTGTCTTTTCTATAATTGCCTCCATTAATATTTTACAGTTTGTGTTGCACAAATCTTTTACATTCTTTATTATATTTATTCCTAAGTATTAGGTTGGTGCAAATGTAATTGTGGTTTTTGCCATTACCAACCTTTTTGATGTTATGGTAAATGTAACTGTCTTCTTGATTTTTCCCAGGTATTTGTTGTTGGAGTATAAAAATGCAACTGATTTTCTTTACATTGATACAGTATCCTGCAAACTTCCTTAGTTTACCAGTTCTAAATTTTTTTCATGTAATGATGAGCACACTGGCCTGTGTTTACACATAAATTGATAGTATCTATTAAGGTATCACAGTGCCTAGAAGTGTGCTCTGTTGTATTTCTGCTGTGACAAATTCCATAGCATCTTTTAGTCTTAATCTTTTCTTAAATGCTTTGGTTTGGTATTTGATAATAATGTGTGCCTTTGGTTACTTTTTAATTGTGAAACACATTGATCTCCATGACTAGTCAAACTTTCTAATAAAGTTCTTTCATAGTTTTATGTATATTTAGTTAATATAAATCAAAATGGTAAATTTTTATGATAGTTTTAAAGTTACTAAGGTTGAAAATATGTCAGTTTTTCACTGGTCATGAGTCTGTGGTTTCCTTATTTCAAACAATTATATATGTCTATATATATGTGTGTGTTTAATGGCTTACAATCTTGCCCAACATATTTGTATATAGTAAGCAAATACTAATCAAAATTATTAATCAAACTATCATCTTCATACTATTCTTCAAATGGCATATTGTTTGTTCTAATTAAAAACTGTGTTTATGTCTTATATAATTGTCAATAAAAATTAGAAAGTCTACTTTGCCCTCTTGAGAAAATCCAAAGTTAAATGGTATTTTTACTAATTTCCTTTAGAATCACTACCTTATTTTCCTCCACAATAAATGTAAACATTAAGGATAAAATTGTATTTCAATGATCCATTCTACAATAGACTTTGGGTCATTCACTGATTGGGCTGAAGCCTCACTCTGTATTATTTCTGATTTTTTCACGTTAACAGCCTAGAAAATCTATTACTCATAGAATATTACGAATTAGAAAATAATTTTTTTTTTTTTTTTTTTTTTTTGAGACAGTCTCACTCTGTCGCACAGGCTGGAGTGCAGTGGTGCGATCTGGGCTCACTGCAAGCTCCACATTCCAGGTTCAGGCCATTCTCCAGCCTCAGCCTCCCAGCCTCACCTGTAGCTGGGACTACAGGTGCCTGCCACTGCACCTGGCTAATGTTTTGTATTTTTAGTAGAGGCGGGGTTTCACCGTGTTAGCCAAGATGGTCTCGATCTCCTGACCTTGTGATCCACCCGCCTCAGCCTCCCAAAGTGCTGGGATTACAGGTGTGAGCCACTGCACCCAGTCGAGAAATCAATATCTTGGATGTACAAATTATAAAAGTAAACTGAAAAGTATAATGTAAAATATACATTTATGTATTATGAATTGTCACTCAAGTAAAGCAGAAATATTAATTTAAAATACTTTCACAAAGGAAAGTCCAGGGCAAAATAACCTATGTAAAACATTCTACCAATATTCAATAAATAATTAATGCTAATTCTTCAGCAGAAAATACTTCCAAAAAATGAAGAAGAGGAAACACTTTCCAATTAATTCTAGAGCCCAGTACTACTGTAATACTAAGGCCAGACACAAGTATAATAGAAGGACTGTGGGCAAATATGCCATATTCATATAGACACATACATCCTCAGAAAACATAGGCAAGCTAAATCCAGGCACATAAAATGTGAATATACACCAAGACCAAATGTGATTGTTTTGCAAATGCAGTTGTGACTTAATATCTAAAATTCAATCAAGATAATGCCCAATACTAGTAAAGAACAAAAAATGATCCTGTAAATAGGCACAGAGAAAGTTACAAAAATCAAGCATCCATTCCTGACAAAACCCCCAGCAAACTACTGATAGAATAAGATTTTGAGACCCACTAAGAGGTATCTATGAAAAACCTATAACTAACCTCATACTTAACGGTGACAGACTTGTGCTTCTTTACCTGAAAGTTTGAGAAGGCAAGAATTTCCACTTTAACCACTCTACTCAGCAGGGTACTGGAGGTATTAGCCAGGGAAATTCTACAACAGAAAAAAAATTGTCCAGATTTAAAATAAAAATAGAACTGTCATTATTGCAAATGAAATAATTTTCTGTAAAAAAAGGGATTCACTAAAATATGAGTAGAATTAATACACAAATTTATCCATGTTACAAGACAGAAAACTGGCATGCCAAAGTAGATTATGGTTTATATAAAAGCAACCAACAATTAAAAATAAAATAAACAATTCCATTTATAATGGTATCAATAAAAAACATTAAGAGAAAAAATTTAAGAGAGGTATAGGAATTTTACACAATTTGTAATGCTGAAAGACATCAAAGATAAACTGAAAAATAACTGGAAGTCATCTTATGTTCAAGGATGGTCTGTTTCTAAGACAAAGGACACATGTTTGAGGGGATGGATACCCTACCCTCCAGGATGTGAGTGATTATTATGCACTGTATGCCTGTATCAAAACATCCCATGTAACCCATACTTATGTATACCTACAATAATTTTAAAAATACTTAATATTCTTTGGATAACAATACCCTATAAATTGATTTACAGATTCAATGTAATCCCCTCAAATTTCCAAGTGTATTTTTTTAGAAATTAGAAAGTCTCTCACTCCTTTAAATCAATATATATGTACAGAAAATCAAATTGCATAAAACAATTTTTTAAAAAGAAAAACATAATCAAATGACTTGTACTTCCTAATATCATTTCTTACTAGAAAGGATAGAGTAGGATTCCGCAGTTTCTTCACATTTTCCATATGTTCCGACCAAGAATACACAGACACTTGACTGCTCTGTTATTCCGTGGCCTGGACACCTGCATGCTTTCCCCTGCAGACCTGAACCCAAGCCAGGGCCCTGACCATTCACAGACATCAGTAAAGGTGTTGTGTTTAGGTTGTAATTCGAAACACTTAAAAGAAAGTATCCCTGGTCCTGGAACAGATTCCTTAAGCTCTACTATAAACTGCATAACCAGACCCCTCACTGCAGACATATCTAGAAAAAGCATCCTTGGTCTCCTTTTCTCCCAATAAGATGAGCTGCAGCGCCCACTGTGGGTACATCCCTTAAGAAATGCTTTGGGATCATGATACCAGGGTTTAGAGTTTACTTCTTTGTAATCCTAACCCCCTTTATCTCAGAACAGTCTGGGGAAGTCCCTTGTGAAAATTCCCCTGTGGTCACCTTTGGGGCAACTCCAGGTAAGTGCTGAGCTGGAGGAAGAAGTAGGGGAGTCAGCAGAATTTTAAGGAATGAGCTGGGGAAAAGTGGATCCCACTGGGAGATCCTGAGATGCTTGCAAGGGTCTGTGTGGGCTTTGTTGCCTTTCCCTCCCTGATGCATGCGAGCAGCCCCAGAGATGCTGAGACGCTCCAAAATCTCCAGCAGGATACAGGAGGCTGATGGAGGGTCTGAAATTGCAAAGGGTCAGTGAGGAAGTCTGGTGCTTGGACATACAGGGACAGAACTGGTTGGCATCAGCCATGGCGGCCTTCATATTAACAGGCAGGGGAATTGCTTAAAACAGGGAGGTGGAGGTTGCAGTGAGCCGAGATGGCACCACTGCACACCAGCCTGGGCAACTGAGCTAGACTCCATCTCAAAAAAAAAAAACAAAAAAGAAAGTGGGGGTTGAACACAGGTGGCTCAGGCCTGTATACAATTCCAGCACTTTGGGAAGCTGAGGCAGAGAGATCACTTGAGGCCAGGAGTTTGACACCATCCTCGGCAGCATAGCAAGATCCCATCTCAACAATAAAAAAACAAAGAAATTAGCTGGGCATAGGGGCAAACGTCTGTAGTCCCAGCTATTTGGGAGGCTGAGGTTGGGGGATTGTTTGAGCCCAGGGGTTTCCAGCTGCAGTGAGGCATGATCAAGCCACTGCACTGCAGCCTGAGTGAGAGAGCAAGAGCTTGTCTCTAGGAAAAAAAACAGAAGACATGCAAGTTTTCACCACCTTCTGAGAGTAATCGACTTTCAGGAGGAATAAAGAAAGAAAAAAAAAAGACCACTAAATGGTTGAGGGTGTGTTCCTGGTTAGGCTCAGTTGCTAGCTGAGTAGTATCTGAAAAATTCATTAGTAAAACTACAGCCCTAGGGATGAGTCATGAAGTTAAATGATGAATGTTAAATTCATTAGAAACGCCCATGGTCTTTCTTTACATGAATTCCAGTGAAAAATTCCTAAGTCCCTAAATAGTAAAGGGTCTGAAATGATAGCAGCTCTTTACTAAAGACTAAAAAAGAAAATGGCATCTTCAAGAATCATGAGAGAGTTCCATGCTGAAGAAGCTCTAATTTTGCATTTGCTCAAGTATTGATTTGATTTGGCTAATATGACACTAATCTTAGGTAAAGCATGCAAACAACTCCATCTCCTCATTAATAAAAACTGAGTAGGTAGTCTAGTATCAATTCTGATTTTTAAGAAGCGAGTTAGAAAAGAATTATGGAACCAATAAGATGTTTGAATAGTTAGTTACAAGCTATTCAAAGGAGAATTCAAAAAACCACACAGTATGAGGACATAAAGTATGAAATAAATTTCACTAATATATTTAAAAATAAACTGATTAGACAGGCAACAACTGGGCACAGGTCTCCTCATCTCCAGCAACACAAACCCAGTCACGCAGCTATGGGGTTGAAAAGGCTGCATGGTCAAAAAGGAACTGGTCCGACTTGAGATTTATTACTTTGCATTTTGAGACAGAGTTTCACTCTGTCACTCTGGCTGGAATGCAGTCGTGCACTCATAGCTAACTGCAGCCTTGATCTCCTAGTCTCAGGGGATCCTCCTGCCTCAGCCTCACCATAGCTAGGACTACAAGTGAGCATCACAACTCCCAGCTATTTTTGTTGTTGTTGTTGGAGAGAGAGACCTTGCTATGTTGCCCAAGCTGGTTTCAAAACTCCCACCCTCAAGAGATCTGCCCACCTTGACAACTGGAGTAACTGACTCTACAGACACATACCACCATGCCTGGATAATTACATGTTATTAATTTTTATTTGTGTAGAGAAATCTTGCTATGTTGCCAAGGGTGGTCTCAAACTCCCGGACTTAAAACAATTCTCCCATCTCTGCCTCCCAAAGTGCTGACACTACAGGCATAAGCCACTGCATCGGCCTGACTTGAGGTTTCTTTAATCTAGCATCCCATACTTCATATAATTGTGAAAGCCAGTACTGTTTATTATTATTATTATTATTATTACTTAGTATTTCAACAAGAATCAACCATCTCTCAGGACCGGGCGCGGTGGCTCACACCTATAATCCCAGCACTTTCAGAGGCTGAGGCGGGCGGATCACAAGGTCAGGAATTCAAGACCAGCCTGATCAATATGGTGAAACCCCATCTCTACTAAAAATGCAAAAATTAGCCAGGTGGGCTAGCAGGCGCCTGTACTCCCAGCTACTTGGGAGGCTGAGGCGGGAGAATCGCTTGAACCTGGGAGGCATAGGTTGCAGTAAGCTGAGATCATGCCACTGTACTCCAGCCTGGGCAACAGAAAGAGACTCTGTCTCAAAAAAAAAAAAAAAAAAAAAAAAAATTCAACCATCTCTCACCATTGCCATGACCCTGGTCAGAAACACGTTATCTCCTGCCTGGATGTTGCCACATTCAGGACTCCTGTTTCTACCCAAATCTCCCCACAATCTTTCTCAACTCAGCAGCCAAGGGATGTTTTTAAATCAGAAGAAAGATCACGTTGCCTCTCTGCTCAGAACCTCCCGCAGTTCCCATCCCAGTCAGAGTAAAAGTCAAAGCCCCAGCAATAGCCTCCCAGGGCTTACACAATCTTTACTGATCTCAGCCCAACAACTCCCTGGCCTCCTCCCCTACTTCTCTTCCCCTCCCACTCCCCCCACTCGGCCCCACTGGTCTCTTTCCTGAGCTTCAGACACATCACGGAGTTCCCTTCTAGCAACTTTATCCTGTTGTTTCTGCCTACAACGTTCTTACCTCAGCACCTTGGCCAGCTGCTTCCCCCACTTCAAGTCTTTGCTCAATTTTCACTTAGGGCGACCCTGGCCACTCTATTTAATATTGCCATCTGTACCCATTCCTGCCATGCTCACTCCTTTTTTTTGTTCCCACAAAATCTCGCTGTGTCACTCAGGCTGGTGTGCCATGGCATGATCACAACTGAGACCTCGAACTCATAGGTGAAGCAATCGTCCTGCCTCAGCCTCTCTAATAGCTAAGACTACAGGTGCATGCCACCACACCTGCTAATTTTTTAAAAAAATATATACGGCATCACTATGCTACCCAGGCTTGTCTTGAACTCCTGGGCCAAAGCAATCCTCCTGCCTCAGCCTCCTAAATACCTGGAATTACAGGTGTGGGCCACCACCCCTGGGTTCATGTTCATTTCTTCTTGCAGCTGTTACAAACTGCCCTACATTGAGTGCCTTAATACACCACAAATCTACCACCTAACAGTTCTGGGAGCCAGAAGTCCAAAATAGGTCAATTAAGGCTAAAGCCAAGGTGTCAGCAGGACTGCATTCCTTCTGGAGGCTCCAGAGAGGATGTGTTCCCTTGCCTTTCCCAGCTTCTAAAAGCCACCCCCGTTCAATTGGCTCATGGCCCCTAACTGCATCTTCAAAGCCAGAAGCGAAGCATATTCAAATCTCCTTCTCTGACCTCTGCTTCCATCATCACATCTCCTCCAGTTCTGACTCTCTTACCTCCCTCTTTCTCTTATAAAAACCCTTGTGACTGCTAGACACAGTAGTCGTGGCTCACACCCATAATTCCAACAGTTTAGGAGGACAAAGCGGGGAAAGGCTTGAGGCCAGGAGTTCAAGACCAACCTGGGAAACATAGCAAGATCCCCAACTAAACAACAAAAACAAAAAGAAATAAGAAAAGAAAAAATTAGCTGGGCATGGTGGTATGCATCTGTATTTTCAGCTTCTTGAGAGGCTGAGGTGAAAGGGTCGCTTTAGCCCAGGAGATCGAGACCAGACTTGGCAACGTAACAAGATCCCATCTCTACAAAAAAATACAAAAATTAGCTGAGCAAGGATGGTGTGCACCTGTAGTCCCAAATACTTCAAAGGCTGAGGCAGAAGAATTGTTTGATTTGAGCCCAGGTGGTTGAGGCTGCAGATAGATATGACTGCATCATTACACTCCAGTATGGGTGAAAGAGAGACACTCTGTCCAAAAAGAAAAAGAAAAGAAATACACATTTGGTTTCTGCCCTTATCCCGGCAAAGAGCTTCTAAAGTTCTCATAAACATCTCGGTGATAAAGGTGATAGGAGCATCTTCTGTTTCAATATTTGGTCTTAGTCCCAGGTTTCTAACACAAGAACCTCTAAGACCTTTGGGATCTCCACCATAGTAAGAATGCATTTGATGATGTTACTGAGATGACTGGGTGACTGAAAGCTCCTAGACAGCTTCAGGAGGAGGGCTGGTTGCCAGAAGAGCAAACCATGTGATTAGAGGCTTGGAACTGTCAGCCTCACCTACTGAGCTCCAGAAAGAAACAGTGGCTGAAGACTGACTTAATCACCAACAGTCAACTGATTTCATCAATCATGCCTGCATAATGAAGCCTTCATAAACACCCTAAACAACAGGGTTTGGAGAATGTCTGGGTTGCTGAACACAAAGGGGATACTAAGAGGTAACATGCCCAATAGAGGGCATGGAAGCTCTGTGCCCCTTCCCACATACCCTGCCCTGTGCATCTATTTCCCTTTTTTTTTTTTTGAGACAGGGTCTGGCTCTGTCTCCCAGGTTAGAGTGGCACAATCGTGGATCACTGCAACCAGTATGCCTCCCTAGTTCAAGCCATCCTTTCACCTCAACCTCCTGAGTAACTACAAGTGTAGGCACATGTCACCGCACCAGGCTAATTTTAGAAAAAAAAAATTTGTAGAGATGGGGTTTCACAGTGTTGCCCAGCCTGGTCTTAAACTCTTGAGCTTAAGCGATGCTCCTGCTTCGGTCTCCCAAAGTGCTGAGAATACAGGCAGAAGCCCAGCATGTGTACATCTCTTTCATTGGCTGTTTCTGAAATATATCCTTTACAATGAACCAGTAATAGAAAGTAAATTGGTGAGATCCAGTGGCTCACGCCCATAATCCTAGCACTTTGGGAGGTTGAGATGGGAGGATCATGTGAGCCCAGAAATTTGGGACCAGCCTGGGCAACATAACAAGACGCCATCTCTACAAAACATAAAAGAACATAGCCAGATATGGTGGTGCAGGCCTGTACTCTCATTGGGAGGCTGGGGCAGGAGGATCACGAGTCCAGGAGTTCAAGGCTACAATGAGCTTTGATCACACGGCTGAATTGCAGCCTGGCAACACAGTGAGACTCTGTATCTCAGAAAAACAAAGAAAATAACCTGTTTTTCTGAGTTCTGCAAGCTGTTCTAGCAAAAGAAAATAACCTGTTTTTCTGAGTTCTGCAAGCTGTTCTAGCACATGATTCAACCCAAGAAGGGGGTCATGAGACCCTGGTTTCTAACTGATTAGTCAAAAGTACATCTAACAACCTAGGACTTGCAATTGGCATGTGAAGTGAAGGTAGTCTTGTGGGACTGAGCCTCTATCCTGAGGGGTCGGCACTAACTCCAGGTAGTGTCAGAATGCAATTGGGGGATACCCAGTTGGTATCCAGATTGTCCGAAAACTGGTGTAGAATCTCCACATGCACATTTGGTTGGAAGTGTTTGACCACAGCTACTATTCAAGAGAAAGAACTACTCATTATTTAAAAAAAAAAAAAAAACCATAAAATTATGTTCTACAAAAAACAAATCAACCTTATCTACAGCCCAGTCCTACTCAAATATAGAATGTTAGAACAAAAAGTCTCATCATGGACTCGAGAGCTGACATCAGGAATGTCACAGCCATCCTGCTCTCTGAGAACTCATCTTCAACAGGCAGGGGGGACACTGCAACTTGGGACATGATCCCTGCACAAGTAGTAAAAAAATGAGTAGTAGAAATCCAGGGTCCTAAACCCATATCCAGAGCGGTAAGAGTTTTTCACCGGCTGGCTAATTTACAGTGGTCTTGCATCAGAGGAAAAATAAGGCTCAGAAACTAGGTATTCAAGTTACCCAAAACTCTCATCAGATACAGAATCCATCTGCTAACTTTCTATCTAGTATTAATTCCATAAAGTTAGAAAAATATCACTCCAAAAATAAATCCATATGGCACCTAGCATCAATGCATTTCTCCCAAGTAAAAGAGGAGGCAAGGTGCTTTACAACTCAGTAATGGGCTACCACAACACAGGACAGTGGTACAAAGCTCCCTTTCTCCCCCGCATAACCCAACACAGAAAAGAGTGGGTGCAGTGGAATGAGGCTGGGTGAAGAGAAGTTCCTCTTCTTACTGAGAAAATAGATCACAGGGCATCAAGTAACATGTAAAAGTCTTTATAACAAGGCATTTTTTAAAAAAACATTTTCTAATATTTTGGTATCAGGAAAACCCTCAGATGAATTTCAAACACTATAAAAATGCAATACATAAACAGAAAATATTAACTGTTAACAATAATAGAGATAAATTGGAACCTTTATGGATTGCTTTTTGGAATGTAAAATGTTACAGCCCACTGTGGAAAACGGTTTGGTAGTTAACATATTAAGCATAGAATTACATGATCCAACAACACCCTTTAAGCTCTATACCCAAAAGAACTAAGAGCAGGGACTCAAACAGGTATTTGTACACCCGTTTAATAGCAGCATTATTCACAGTGGCCAAAAGGTAGAACCAGCCCTATGCCCATCGGTAGGTGAATAGATAAAGAAAATGTAATATACACATACGCAGAATATTATTTAGGCATTAAAAAAAAAAAAAACAACTCACCGGGTTCAGCAGCTTACACCTGTAATCCTAGCACTTTGGGAGGTCAAGGCGGGCTGGTCGCTTAAGCACAGAATTTTGAGACCAGCCTGGGCAACACGGCAAGACCTCACTTCTAAAATAAAATTTTTTTTTTAAAAAAAGGAAATTCTGATAGTGTTACGAGCCTTGACAGCATTATGCTAAGTGAAATAAGCCAGACACAAAAGGACAAATATTGTACAAGTCCACTTATATAAGGTATTTAGAATAAACAAATTCATAAACAGAAAATAGAATAGTAATTGCCAGGGGCCAGGAGGAGGGTTCAATGGGGAGCTATTGCTTATGGGGTACAGAGCTGCAGTTTAGAATGGTGACAAAGCTCTGGAGATGGAGAGTGGTGATGGCTAACAATGCGGATGTGCTTAAAACACCAGGGACCTGTGTGCCCTTAAAAATGGTTAAGTGTTATTTTGTATTATGTATATTTTATCAAAAAATAAAAATAAAACACCAAAACAGTACACCACATAAGGACGTACTAAGATGGCAAAATCTAAAGCAACTTTTTAAAACCCAGATAGTTTTTCTGTAAACAGCATACGAATTAAATGCTTATTAAAAATTTGCCCCTTTAATTTAGTTGAATTCTACTTTCAGAGATTAAATAATTAAATAAACTTAATTGGAAGCATAACTGAAAAACTAAACACTGAATGCAGGAAGAGGAACTGTAAAAACACATCTATGTACATAAACTAATTTACTGACAACACTCGAGTATCCCTTAACTAAAGCCCCAGTATTACAGAGAAGATGGACAAGCACTTGAAAAGCTGTCAGCAGGAAACTGTTATACCTAAAAATGTCAATAAATCTGCATTAAAGAGAATGTTCTATTTTTCTATTATTAAAGGTTGTCACCTAGGGTTACCATCTGTTACCATGTGCACTGACTACTAGGCCAGATTTAGACATCAACAAGTAATGAAGCATACATACCTAGGAAGTTACAATTTATAATAAAAACTATGATCAGAAAAATAGTATTTGCATCATGAAGACCTTCAGTTACCACTTAGTTTTCATCCTCATAGGCTTTATTGATCAATATAGTAAAGAGGTATATTAACTCTTATAACTTAAAACAACTTGTTGCCTAGGAAAGCATACCAAAAAGAATCATCTTTTATTTCCAAGACAGGTGTTTTAAGAATAATATAATCTGTAAAATAGAATAGACATACAACAGGCCAGGCATGGTGGCTCACGCCTGTAATCCCAGCACTTTGTGAGGCCAAGGCAGGCGAAATCACAAGGTCAGGAGATCGAGACCATCCTGGCCAACATGGTGAAACCCTGTCTCTACTAAAAATACAAAAATTAGCTGGGTGTGGTGGTGCGTGCCTGTAATCCCAGCTACTCAGGAGGCTGAGGCAGAAGAATCCCTTGAACCAGGGAGTCGGAGGTTGCAGTGAGCTGAGATCATGCCACTGCACTCCAGCCTGGTGATGGAGCAAGACTCCATTTCGAGGAAAAAAATAAAAAATGAAAATACAACAAATACAGTAACACATAAAATCTCTTTTTCTTTTAACCTTCTGCTGGTCCTTCAGTTGCTGCTGGTACTGTTCCGTCATTGCCTTCTGAAGAATGATGGCTTCCTAAAAAGAAAATAAACATATAATAAACCAATAAAAACTCACAGTGAAAGACAAAAGAGAATCTAGATAACAATGCAATCATTTTTAAGATATAATAAACATGAAAAATGATTTTTTAACTCAATGGAAAAATACTTTCTAATTTAGAAAAAATTATAACACTTCTATTTGGAAGCTAAAAAATATTATTTTAGAATACAAATACAGAGTAGACCAAAGTAGGTTTGTGGATTTAACATTAGTTACTGTAACTGTATGATAAAATTACTGGATATTGCAACCTGAAGAAGCACAATTATGCTTCAAGTACCATGCTCATCTGTCTCACTCACACATACACACACACACACACACCCCGAAGTGTGAATGCTTGCTTTGCTCAGACACTTAATTAACTTTCTATAAATAAGTTCAGGGTTTGCTGTAGAATGCTTCCTGCTTTCCATTTTCACTATGGTGAAAGCTATGGAAACTCGATCCCCATAATTTAATCAAAGTTGTACTTAAAGTAACTCATAAGTAAAAATTTAAGATCCTATCTTCAGTATCAAGAAAACATTTTAATCCAGGTAATATAATCTGCTTGCTTCTAAAAACTGGGACATAAAGCAATAGATCAGTTAGGCAGTCACATGGTAAACAGGTTTATCCTACTGGAGCAGAAGTTTATTCACAAATAGGAAAGAAAGAATCTAAGATTATCAGAGCTCCAGTAGGATTAAGACCACAAGTTGCCCCTAGAATACATCCACTGTCCTTAAAGATCTGAGCTACTAACATGGAAAAGATTGAAAAACACTGCCTTCAAGTATAAATAAAAATGTATTACATTTCGGAAGAATACATTGCTTAGGGGGAAGGGAAGCAGATGCTCATCTATTTTGTCCTGTCTATTGATAAATAAATTCAGAAGCTGTACTAAAACTAAAATAAAAGTTATACATACATTTTCTCTTAATTTTTAAAGAGTAATGATTAGTCTGAAAAACTCATTTGGTGGTTACTGTTCTTGAATTAAAAGTGCCATACTGAGGTGAAATCTTTTTGGTTTTCAATACCTAGCTTTATTATGTCACAATTATCTTGGGATTCTTTTCAACTTACTGCATATTGTGAAAACTCACCTGAATTCAAAACTCTAGGTAAATCTACAAACATCTGTGAATCCATCTTTAATTAACTTGTAAAACACACTTTCTCTGCACACATTTCCTTTCTCTTTTTTTAACTTTAATATTTGGATTTAGGAAGCATTAAGTTCTTTGACTGTAAAATCAAAGAAAAAAGAGATATGAGGTCATAGGAATGATAGATAATAAAGAAGAGGCCAGTAATTAAAAAGTAAAATTTCAGTAAAGAATGACAGTTAAGATCGTTGTTCATGTTACTACCTGAACACCAAGGGTTTGGTCCAGGTCCTGCTGCTCACCAGACAGTAACTAGTCATTGAGGTGACAAGTATTACCAAGCAAGAAAGCTTTAACCTGGTGCTGCAGCCCAGGAGATAGGGGCTCAGTCTCAAATTTATCTCCCTGACTGACTAAAACTAGGGTCAGGAAAGAAATGTAATAATGGGTAAGAGAACAGAAATTAGAGAGGGGCAGGAGGCATCTGGTGCTGAGATCTGATATTTTTCAGTTGATACTTACTGAAGGTCTTTTTTTGAGGAGAGAACTCAGATAAAACAGATACAAGTTTCAAGGTTTAACAGCAGGGTCAACTCTTATGTTGATCCAAACAAAACCCTATCCATGGGACAACTGGGCCGGTGTCAATGTAAGCAATAATTCTATAGGTCCTTTTTGTTTAAAATCTGAACAATTAAATTTATACTATATGCTAAACATAAGGAAAATACATCTTATGTACTCAAGGCCAGAAGAGATAGAAGTAAAACCTACTACTAATAGCCTATGAGTGTCAAGTTTGGGAACACTATAAAAAATTACAAAAAAGTAATAAATGCATAAAAGTTACAAATTAACAAGTGCTATTTCAGAATTCTTCTAAATACTAAGTACATGAACTTACTAATATTTGCATTACTAACCACACAATAAGAACCCGACTTCTGACTATTCTGAGATAAGGTATAAATGTGCACCTTTACCTTAAATGGGAAAGTGTGTCCTGTACCCACTTTGAGATTCATGAAAGGGAAAACTGATTTGAAAAATGTTTGCTTGTCAAGTTCATTTATATGTTAAGAAAAGGTCAATACAATTTTTCCTTTTCAATGTAGAAAAGTAATACATAATACTACAGTTATAAATACTAAAACACAGTCTGTGGAATACAAGAAAACATTAAATACAAACACTATGTAGGAAAATGGAGGTAAAAAGATGATACCTTGCAAAGACTTCAGTAGAAGATTTTTATCAACGTCATCGCTTTCAAAAGGGCATGTTTTAGGATACAAAGATAATACTTCAACAGTAACCCTCCCTCCCCAGGCTAGAGGCAGTGACTTATGCCTGCAATTCCAGCACTTTGGGAGGCCAAGACAGGCAGATCACTTGAGGTCTGGAGTTCGAGACAGACCTGGCCAACAGAGTGATACCCCATCTCTACCAAAAAATACAAAAATTAGCTAGATGTAGTGGCATGCACTTATGTAGTCTCAGCTACTCGGAAGGCTGAGGCAAAAGAATCCCTTCAACCTGAAAGGCGGAGGTTGCAGTAAGCCCAGATTGCACCACTGCACTCCAGCTTGGGCGACAGAGTGAGAATCTGCTTAAAAAAAAAAAAAAAAGTCATGTTTACATAGAGTTAGGCTGCACAGCTCACTCTCTTAACCATCCTGTAATTCTGCCCACTCTATGCTATGCCCAGTCACTGACGCACTTGTTTGGTAGCTCCCTTAGAGCTTAGAACCTAGGTTTTATGTCCTGCTCTACAGCTATATAATTTAAGAATTTTCCTCTGGAGTTTGTTGGATTCTAACCCTATATATAACAAATCTTATTAATAGTACTGAATCTTAAAGGAGGCTGTGATGTCTTTAGTCCCTAGAAATATTAAACAACCTATAAACAAACGACCATATGAGAGTAAACAATCCAAATTTCTACATGCTTTAAAACACTGAGGCGGCCGGGCGCGGTGGCTCAAGCCTGTAATCCCAGCACTTTGGGAGGCCGAGACGGGCGGATCACGAGGTCGGGAGATCGAGACCATCCTGGTTAACACGGTGAAACCCCGTCTCTACTAAAAAATACAAAAAACTAGCCGGGCGAGGTGGCGGGCGCCTGTAGTCCCAGCTACTCGGGAGGCTGAGGCAGGAGAATGGCTGAACCCGGGAGGCGGAGCTTGCAGTGAGCTGAGATCCGGCCACTGCACTCCAGCCTGGGTGACAGCGCGAGACTCCGTCTCAAAAAAAAAAAAAATAAATAAATAAATAAATAAATAAATAAATAAATAAAAACACTGAGGCAATGTACTGAGAAACACACCTAAGAAACTGCAACCAATCTACTCTGGACAAAAATTTAGACACTGTCTCTTCAAAATAAGCTATCTGGTGGTACTTATGCATATTCTTACATATATCAACAGTATTTTACATGCCATAACCTTAAAAATAATTTTAAAAGTGTCAAAATTATAAGCCTTAATCCATCTCTGTGGGCATGAAAAATGATACAATATACATTTGTTTCTTTAAAGTATTCAATAAAATGCATAAACTTCTAGAGCAATCACTGAAAAAAGGGTTCATACTAAAGGTTGTAATACTAGGAAAGAGGGCTCAGTACTGCAGGTTCTTAAAGGCAAAAGTTAATAAAGCCTTGCTTTTGGTTGTGAATCCTGGCCTTAAAACATTATTCACATGATCTCCCCTTCCTTTTCCTATTGTAAAGATGTGGTGACAAACCAGGTCTGCTCATGCAGATAATAATCTTGAAAACAGTGGCAGAGAAATAACATGAAGGGAATATAGTTTACTTAATGACCTCCTAAATTGGAACTTATTACCCCATGCCTCTTGCATATCTCCAGACTAATATAAAAGAGGTATGAAATGGCTGTTTCCTACCAGTATTTTATTTGATGCTTCATTTTTTTTTATTACTTGTATAACTACCTACAATGCGTTAACAGAACAGGAAAGCATAGCTATTCAAGCAACTAAATAATTATATAAATCTCTAAGACATAGTAATGGACCAATTATTTTTAAAGTACAACACACTGACAAGTAGTTTATTTTTAACTCAGTTTTGGTTTGTTGTTAATGCCATTGCTTGGGAAAAAGCAAAGAAAAGCAGGAGGAGGTGAAGGAGAAACAAGAAGAGAAACAAGAAATAGCAGCAGCATAAGCAAGTAAAGAGGAACGAGATGATGATGATGATGAGAATAAAACAGACTGGAAGAAAGGAAAAAGAACAGGTGAGGGAACCAGAAGGCCTATTATACCTTTTTTCCCCTCCTTGATTCATGAAAACTGAAAAAGTTCAAGACTTTTTTACAACAACAACAACAAAAAAACAAGTAAAAAGATACACAATCACCCCCTAAATTTTGTTAAGACTGAGATAATGCTCCATTCACGCCTGGCTCAGGTGCCAGCAGAAGGAAGGGACCCTCCAGATTCTACAGAAGAAGGGGGAGGACTCCTCCTTGCCCTGACGGCACCTCCACTGCTACCACCGAGGCCCACGGCACAGCACCCACAGCTTCCTACCCATGCCAGGCCAGGTGGCCCCGCAGCGCTCCTACTCCCACTTCCCAGGACCCCAGACTTGCGGCTGCTGCCACCACTAGGGCCAATGCCAATACAACCACCGCTGCTGTCGCCCTCGATGCACTGGCGCTCCCTACAAGGCTCTTACCACCTGGCCACAGCCACAGCCCTGCCCCCCAACCTGGCCACAGACGGCGGCCCTCCCACCTACTCCTCCAAAGCACCACCCACCGCAGCGAAGCCAGCCGCCACGTCCCAGGCTCCAGGCTCAGCCTTCACTTTCCAGCGTGTGGCAGGTTGTTCCTCCTTCTGGCACGGAGCAGCTGAGCCAACAAAGTCAGAAAAGCCTAGAACATGATGCAGGGAGTGGTAACGTTAGAGCCTAACCTCGTCATAGTGGCCACTGGGTGACAGTGACAGGTTTCAGTTAACTGGAGACTCCACAGTGGCCTGCTCCCCATCCACAGGAGCCGTTGGGCCCACCAACGGCTGCGGCTCCTCTGCGAGCAAGAACAGCAAAACTCAGACCCAGCCACCACCACCCCGCCTGCCCTGTCCCCCACTCCCCGCGCCCCCCGCCCAATCCGAGTGCCAGTTTCCGTTCCTAACGCCTCCACCCACAGGGCCCTGTCCCCCCATGACGCCTGCTACTCCGTGCCCAGGGATCCCAGGTTGTCTCAACACAGAGCAAGAGGACGCAGACCCGGGAACCATGACGGGTGTCGGGGCCCTGCCATGCTCATGATTCCCATGGAAACGCTGTGCCCCCACCGGGCTAAATCACGAGCAGTAGGAGGTCTCCCTCTAGATTCTGGAGCCTGGCTCCTTCCTTGGAGGCCACCGCTGTGGCGGCCACCTTTGCCGCCACCAGCAGTGCAGCCCCTGATCGCGGCCTAACCCGCCGCTGGCAGTGTAGCCCTCGATAGTGTCCCAAACACCCCCACACTCCCAGGAAGTGTAACCACCGATAGCGCCCCCAACCCGTCCTCACCTCGAGCACCCAATAGCGACTCCAACCCGCCCCCATACCGGAAGAAATGACGCCTAGAACAGCGCCCCAACACGCCCTCCGTCCCCAAGCACCACAGCCCTGGATAGCACCACAGCCCTGGATAGCACCCCAACCCCCTCCCAGCTGCAGGCAGTGATGCCCGGAATAGCGCCCCCACGCAGTGGGCAGTGCAGTTGAGGATACGCACCTACCGTGGCCGCCTTTCTACCACTCCGGCAGCTGTGCAGTCTCTGTTGCAGCCACCAGCCTCAGCGAGGCGAGCCGCTGTGCCACAGGCTCCGGCCTCCAGCTTGCGTCCGCGGAAACCACCTTCTCCTCCCGCTATAGCACTGTACCGAGCCAGCTGCTAGTCCGCCATCTTACCGCTCCAGCTGCACTTCAGTCTCTGTTGTCGCCCCCAATGTTCTGATTGGATGAAAGAAAACCTCTAGGCTTATTCTGATTGGGCTTTCCTATCATGTTCTGATTGGTTAGCCTAAGGCTTGCTCTCATCCAATCAGAACATGTAGTCCAGGAACCTTGGTATATAAAGCCTGCTAAGCAGAAGTCAGCCCGTTCCAGGCTCTTTTGCTTCTATGTGTTCTGCTGGTGTGTGCCCAGCTTAGAAGTGGGGAAGGGGCTGGGCATGGTGACTCATGCCTGTAATCCCAGCACTTTGGGAGGCCGAGGCCGGTGGATCACGAGGTCAAGTTTGAGACCAGCCTGGCCAAGATGGTGAAACCCCTGTCTCTGCTAAACATACAAAAATTAGCCGGGAGTGGTGCTCCTGTAGTCCCAGCTACTTGGGAGGCTGAAGCAGGAGAATCGCTTAAACCCAGGAGGCGGAGGTTGTAGTGAGCCAAGATCGCGCCACTGCAGTCTAGCCCAGGTAACAGAGCAAGAATCCATCTTGGAGGAAAAAAAAAAAAAAAAAAAAAGGAAGGGGGAAAGAAAGAGCCACCTGCTGCATGCTGGAGGCTGTAGCCTACAGCTGCACAGCTGGGCTCACTGCAGTGAGTGGCAGTGATGCAGCATGGCAGGAGCAGTAGGATCTGGATGATTTCCAGCTTCATCCATGTCTCTGCAAAGGACATGAACTCATTCTTTTTTATGGCTGCATAGTAGTCCATGGTGTGTATGTGCCACATTTTCTTTATACACCAAGCAATAAGATTTATCATCTGGGAGGCCAGGTGCAGTGGCTCACGCCTGTAATCCCAGCACTTTGGGAAGCCAAGGCAGGCAGATCATGAGGTCAGGAGCTCGAGACCAGCCTTACCAACACGCTGAAACCCCATCTCTACTAAAAATACAAAAAAAAAAAATTAGCCAGGAGTGGTGGCGCGTGCCTGTATTCTCAGCTACTCAGGAGGCTGAGGCAGGAGAATCACTTCAACCTGGTAGGTGGAGATTGAAGTAAGCAGAGAATGAGCCACTGCACTCCAGCCTGGGAGACAGAGGGAGACTACCATCTCATAAATAAATAAATAAATGAATAAATTAAATTTATCATCTTGGGTATCAGGCGAGAGGACTAGCTAGGTTGGGTACATGGAATTAGAATTCATGAATGAAGAAATTCAAAATTAAAGTTAAGAATATTATTGGTCTATATAGCATTTACAGAAAGGCCAAAGAGACAATATTCCAGACTATAGAGGTTAGAGAAAATCAAGTTATCTATCTTAAGAGCACTTTTTTTTTTTTTTTTTTTTTTGAGACAGAGTCTTGCTCTGTCACCCAGACTGGAGTGCAGTGGCGTGATCTAGGCTCACTGCAAGCTCCACCTCCCGGGTTCATGCCATTCTCCTGCCTCCGCCTCCTGAGTAGCTGGGAC